TAGATTTAGGGTTTAGGGTTGAAGGGTTTAGGGTTTAAGGTGTAGGATTCAGGGTTTAGTCCTGAGAAATGCCTATGCTCTGCATGCTGGAGGTGCCTGCCCGTCACGATAGGAAAAGCTACTACAGCTGCGCGCTGTAGAAGATGAAGCAACTACCAACAGCTTCAGACAAGTCTAGTATAACCTAAAAACCTAAAACCCTAAAGCCCTAAACCCGCTACTTTGATTCTGCAGGCCCTTTAGGGCATTTTTTAAAGCAGGGCGGCATGGCACCTCACATGTTTGTTTATGAATTCCTTCTACCCCACGAGCTCAGCCACAAGTGCAGCTAACAAAGTTTCCGGCCAATAGCGCCTGGAGACATTTACCACTGGTTAGCAAGGAATGAAGGAATCGATGCTTATAGATTTACAGTAGTTATTACTGGGCTGCTGTTCAGGAACTTGAATGAAGTTACTATAACTGGTAGAATTATTGCCCCAATATAGTAATTCAAATTAAGTTCCTCAACAGCAACCCAGAGTAGTTCCTATAGAATCCCCAAGAATAGGGAAGGTTTAGGGTTTAGGGGTTAGCTTCCACTTTCTTGTCCATTCAATCCTTCCCTGTCAACCAGAGGTGAAAACCTGCATGGCCTTCTGCTCTCAGTCAAATGCGCTTTGTCTTGCTGGTGCTTAAGGGTGGAGCGGGGGAGGGAATATAGGTACCAACATAGAGGAAGATTTAGGGCTTATTTCAGAATCCACTCCTCCACTCCCCCTTCGAACGCACCTGTAAGTTGCTCGTGCTTATGCCCGGACGGCATTCAATTACAGATCCTTGCAAGCAGGAAGACTTCAAGCCTAAGATGTTTCTTGGTTCCCAATCCTCCCACTGAGAATCCTTTGCCTAAGCCTCATGACTCCAATGTGGAAGTACACCTGATGCAAGCCCAGTACCCTTAGCACTGCATGCAGGTACGTGATGGCCTGCATGAATCAGGCGCGTTTGAGCCGTTTTCCTTGACTGCGCTGGGGGTGATGACATGTAAAGTGAAGAGGTTCATGTAGAAGACCAGATAATTTCCAATATTGTGGCCCTGTAAGCTGTACATGCTTGTAACATTGCAAGAGATTCCCCACTATTCTGATTCCCGTACGAACCCCCTCATACTTGCACCTCTAGATGCCCTCATCATGAGTGTGAAGATAATTCTGATTAAGGGGGGACCATCGGAGGTACTTGTTTTCAGGGGGTCGGGAGAAAAATTAGGGTTCAGGGTTCAGGGTTTCTGGCATAGGGTAGTAAGTCAGGCGTTTAGGCCATTTTTTGGGGGGCTGCAACATGGTGCCGCTACACCCCAAACCCTAAAATCAGCAGTTTGAAGCCTAAACCCTAAACAATGCGCTGAAGTTCCCACGTTTTTGTTTTATTCCCATGCTTAGTAATAACAAAACCCATAATCGGTAATAACAAAACCCATACTCGTAAACCCTAAACCCTAAACCGTAATACTCATAGGGTCCACGACTTGACCTTTGCCGGTAGGACAGGAAGGACCTAGAAGTGTCTTGGAATGAGAAGTGCCTTTTGGGAGGTGGGTTCCTATAATATAGGGCTTAAATAATCTGGGTTGCTGTTCTGGAACTTAATTTAAGTTACTATATTGGGGAAACCCTATTATGTACTATATATACCCATTATGGTGACTTAACAGCAACCCAGTAATTACCAGTATCATGGTTGCATATTCCTTGTATAAATACCGTATATGGTACTTCAAATGGAGCTCAAAATTATGTCAAGAACAGGCCCCCCTATGACGGGAGACTACCATTTTCAGTATCAATTGTATGGGATTGCCCCTAAACCCTAATCCCTAAACCCTAGACCCTAGACCCTAAACCCTAAACCGGAGGGGCGAAACTTGGACCTCGCCGTAAGGCGCTCTCCGATGCTTGGACAGAGGAGAAAAGGTCCACCAAAAAAAAAAACACTAAACCCTAAGCCCTAAACCCTAAACCCTTTGGAGTGGAGGAGTCGGAGACGAGGAGGAGGAGGAGGAGAAGGCGGAGGAGCCAGAAAAATATGAGGTATAGTCAGACCCCCAAAAGGATGTAAAAATCAGATCCCCTAGAACCATAGGGGGAATTATATAAGGATTATATAGGGGCTACAATGGGTCTATATAGAGGATCTAATTTTTAGATCCTCCCAGGGGTCTGGGTAGTCAGTCTCAACGAGTCTAAACTCCTTTAAAGGGAGATATCTACAGGGGACTACTACAGGGTTAATTATTAAGGGGGATACTAGGAGTTTAGACAATAGCTCATCTGGAAGTTTGTCAACAACGCTTGTAGATATAGTCCTCAGCTCCAAAAGCCGTCTGTAATCCGAGTAATCCGTTATTCTAATCATTTAGACCCCTTCTAGAACCCTAAACCTAAACCCTAAGTAGATCTGAAAGCCCATGTACACCCCATATGAATTGCCGAGGTCAGCATACAACCCGCAATGCTTCGAGTGAGAGATTGATAGGAGCCTTGGGGGGGCTTTACACGGTTAGGGGACCGGATTACCCCAACAGTGGATTGTAGGCATATATACGTAGGTTCTGGGGACATACACATGTGGTCGTCTGGGTTTCCAAAGGTTCGATTGTTAGCACAGTGATGGAGAATCCAATAGAAAAGAACATGAAGATGAAATGCAGATTGGGATTATGATTATGTATATAGTGATTTGTAATGATTGGGGCTTCCCAAAAATGAGACCTTTCTTGGGAGTCACCATAGTAAGAATTATAGTATATTGGGATCTATCTTGTCGTCCCCTGATTGCAGAAGCCCGCATTAGAACTTAGGTCAGGGCTGTTAAGCCATGAGTCTAGATCCCTTCGACATACTGATATCCCACGTGCAAGAGAACGCAAACATCTTATTCGCGCTTTGTGGCGAAACTGCCTTCTAATCCTGAGAATTCGGGATTCCCCTACCGCCCCCTCACAACCCCGCCCCGGAATATTAAACCTCCTAAAAGTTTAGGGTTTAGGGTTTAGGGTACTCCCATTATGTGGTATCGATAAAACATCATGGGAGTATTTAACATGGGGGGGGGCAATATGGGGGGGAGGGGATTGCTACCTCTTAGGTTCTCCTTAGTCAAGGCTGGTTAAGGTTAAGTAAGCGGGAGGTTTAGGGTTTAGGGTTTAGGGGGGCGGAGGTGGTTAGGACGATGCACGCACTCGTCTTGTGAGGGCAGCGTGAAAGTCACAAAATCTCCTCGTTTGCTTACTGGTGCTCAAAGGGGAATCGAAGCGAAGATGGGTGCTATTCGCCAGGATTATTGCTGACTAAACCCTGAACCCTAAACCCTGAACCCTAAACCCTGAACCCTTAACCCTAAACCCTACACCCTAAACCCAGACTCGTGTGGGGATCCACTCCGACCACTCCCTCCTAGGCACCAGTAAGTTTAGGGTTTAGGGGTTTAGGGTTTAGGGGTTTAGGGTTTAGGGTTAAGTTTAAGTCGGACTTTTTGACAAGGGCGATTGTCACTGGGATCAGTTTTGGGTATCTGAAGCCCTGATTCCTAGAACTGGGACATTGAACCTAAATCGGGGAATTTCGAAAAAATTAGGGGTACCTCTTTGAGGTCCCTATATTAAGGAGTATAGCATTTTGGGGTCTATATTGCGTGCCCTTGTTTGGGGAAATTACTAAATAGCATTCATTGCACATAGGGGACAGCATGTTCTTGGAGATCCCCGTGCTGATATCTGGACATTGGGAGGGGAGACTGTAAAGTGAGTCAACTTCCTGGTTGTTAGTAGGAAAGAATATAATCCCTATACAATCCCTATTTGCCATATTTTCCTATTCCCTACTAAGAACCAGTAAGTCAGGTGTTAGGGCCTGTACATTAGTTGAACGATGGAACGAACAAATCCCCAAAATCTTCGTACTTGGGGAGTTAGTTTGGAAGAAGGGATTACGTATATTATGTGGGGATTATTGGCCCTAAACCCTAAACACGAAACCCTAAACCCTAAACCGCCCTTACTGCTTACTTACCCCCAGTAAGTCTTGAAACTGAGGCATGCTCAGCGCGTCCGAGGTTGAGTTAAGGTCTAGTTGCTATTTGAAGGTGTAGGCTTTAGGGTTTAGGGATTTAGGATTTTGGGGTTTAGGGGTTTAGAGTTTTGTGGTTTTAGGGTTTAGGGTTTTAGGGTTTTAGGGTTTTCTTAGAAAACAGGTCTGGAACCCACGATAGGTTTTCTTTCCGCTTAATGGAAAATGGGTTCAGAAAGGCCGATAATTACCAATATTGAGGTCCTAGATGTCTTGTACAATGAGAACTTTACAGGCTTAGAATGAGCTCAATATGACATTGGTACTTGTTTAGGGTTTCCCTAACTCTAAACCCAAAACCCTAAACCCTACCGTACCTCCACAGCTTGATGCTTATGCTTACAGACAAAGTTGGCCTTCTTCATGTCATCTCTTCATACCAGAGATCCGCAGAATCTCTTGTAAAGTTTGGAAGCTCTAAACCCTATAGCCCTGCGCCCTGAAACGTACACAGCACAACACATGTGCCAAGGCAATCAGCAAATAGATTTTGAATCATCACCTAAGCCCTAAACTCTAAACCCTAAGACCTAAGCCATAAAGCCCAAGCCTTCAGTAAACCCACGAAACTGTCAGCCCAACAGAGCACCCCTAGAATTCCAAATCACTGTAACCCTAAACCCAGCCACCCTTAATTTTGACGCTAAAACCCCCTAAACCCCCTCAGCCCAAAACCCTGCCTAAGTTTGACCCCACCTTAAACCCTGAGCCTCATACGTCATGTAATACCTCCATATAGTCCCCTAAACCACCCCGCCTTTAAGATTTAGACCCTAAACCCTAAACCCTATAACCCCCCTTTCAGGAGTTTAGACCCTAAACCCTTAACCCTATATAATCCCCCCTTAAGGAGTTTAGATTATGTAAGCCATGTAATGCGATGACTTGCTGATGGCACGGGTTCAGTTGGACATCAGGCCTGGGAGCCGCGTGAAGGCCGGGTTCAACGTAAAGTTTAGGGTTTAGGATTTAGGGCATAGGCCAGAGGCAGGGCGTAGGGTTTAGGGTTCAGGGTTCAGGGCCTGCGGTTTAGGATTGAGGGTTGAGGGCTTAGTGGCTAAACTCATGACCCATATTATCATTGTTCTAGACTCCTCAAAATACATGAGAATTTCCCAAAATTGGGGGTGTACCTTTTTGGGTGTCCCCATATTATAAGGATTAATAGTATTCTGGGGTCTATATTGGGGTCCCCATCTTTTGGGAAACTACCATATAGGGCCCGAATTTTTTTTTTCTTCTATTCGCTTCGTATCTTCGCCTACCCAATTGGTAGTTCAGAGGTTGAGTTCTGAGTAGGCGGGCAGTTGAAGGTTGCTCATAGTAGGGATTCTACTATAGGTGGGAATGTTGGCCATACAAAAAAATAGTTATGATTCCTTCCCCAATATAATCCATAGTCTAATCTCGTTATATAGGGGATTATATAGGGGAGTGCTATAGGGGCTATTAATTTGGGATACTAGGAGTTTAGATTATACCCCCTACAATCCCCTACATAACCCTAGATATAGCAGTTTCCATTTCAGTTTCCATTTTCTTTTCCATTTGATTCTCCATTATTAAGGGGGATTATAAACCTTAAACCCTTAAAACCTAAACCCGAAACCCCTACACCCAAACCCCCTAAACCCTAAACCATTGTTAAGGGAGTTAAGATTATAGGTCATATGATCCACCATCACCCCCCAACCAACCTCCCCCAACGGCGCCCATCATTTTGGGAAGCTCCGGCACGGCTCCCTTGCCTTTCAAATGGGGATGTCCCTAACTTATGGGTACTTTATTGGGGGTCCCCATAATAAGGATTTAGAGTATTTGGGGTCTATGAGAGGGTGCCCTTATTTTGGGAAACTACCAAAGTTGGCTGTATGGAATGAAGAAATGGAACCCCGTATAGGGGTTTAGGGGTGCAGGGTTCAGGGCCTATGCTTTAACAGTCGGATAATGTCTTTAATAGAGTTATATATAGCCCTGAATATGACCCCTGATACGGACTGTTACAGTGTGGGGGCAGTGCCCAACCAATAAACCAATACTGTTGATCGCGTAATCTTGCACCGCCCATGATCTTCAGACTATTGCAACTCCTTGATGATGCTGTGGCAATCCGGATAGACCGTAAACCCTAAACTCGTCAAGCCGAACCCCTTATCCCTAATCTTGAAAACCTTGAAACTCCAAACCTCGAAGCCCTAAATCCCGAAAAGCCTACTAAAACCCTACACCCTAGACCCCTAAACCCTTGACCCCAATACCTACACCCTGGACCCCTAAACCCTTCACCTGCTTCTGCTCCACGAAGACGCAATTTGGATTATAACCATTACAATCCCCCCTTTAAGGAGTTTAGTGGAATAACAGTAGTTATGATAAGAATAAGAAGTATAACAGTAGTAGTAATAGTGGTAATAAATGTAATCATGGTAATAGTGATAACACTAATCTCATATAACCCCAATATATCCCTAATATCCCTAAACCCTAAACCCTAAACCCTAAACCCTGATATCCCTAAACCCTAAGCTCCAGGCACTCCGAAGCACCAAAGCCAGGGGACCCAGGTGCCAAACGACCTACGGTCCTAGGGTGGATACTCAAATCTTGGGGGTTTAGGGTTGAGGGTTTTAGGGTTTAGGGTTTTAGGGTTTAGGGTTGAGGGTTCAGGGTTTAGGTTTGGGGTTTTAGGGTTTAGGGTTGAGGGTTTAGGGTATCTTGAAGGGGGTATAGGGATGTATGGGATCCCCTGAACGATTAAACCGGGTTTAGGGTGGGTAGTATCAACAATAGTACAGGGGCCTCGACATGGCTTTGGGTCTCTTAAATAAAAGGGATTATAGGGGATGTATGGGGAGATATAGGGTTAAGGGTTTACGGCTTAGGGGTTTGGGAATTAGAGTTTGCAGGGGCTTAAACAGGGTTCAATCACGGTTCACGCTTTTTTGTTGAAGGAGTTACAGTGGTGAAAGCGGTTGTAGAGGGATTGAGGGTACCATAGTGGAAAAGAAAATTGAAGAGATTATGGAAACTGGGTTCCCAGGGGCTGTATAGGGACCACGAAAAAAATTGTACTTCTCGAACTGTTGGATAGAGTACCTGAAATAGATCTCGAGAGCTTGGTTGAGGGGTGAAAAGACTAATAGGATTAGAGGGCTGACTGGCGATTGATTAAGGTATAACGTACCCTAAACCAAAGCCCTCAATGCTAAACTCTAAAATCCGATTCCTGGCCCCCAAGCCTCAACCCTAAACCCTAAACTAGACCACATGGGGTTCTTGAAGTGCAGCAAGTATTGCGGCCATTTGGTGCACATGGGTGGCCCCTCGATAAGCCGACTCCAAGGCCACAGCTTAAGGTTTAGGGCTCCAGATTTTAGGGTTTAGGGAGTTAGGGATTTAGGGTTTAGGGATTTAGGGTTTAGGTTTTAGGGTTTAGTATTTAGGGTTTAGGATTTAGGCTTTGGGGCTTGGGGTTTAGGATTTAGGATTTACGGTTTGGGGCTTAGGGCTTAAGGTTTAGGATGTATTTTTTGATTTCGGGCTCCGGCATAGTTGAAGATATTATCCTATGTGAGGCTGTAGTGTTCAAGGAGAAAGATCTAGCCATAGTAAGCTTCAGTATTAACATGTCACGAGAAAAAACATCGAACTTGGTACAGCCACCAAAACGTTAGTCGTATGTTGCCCTGTCCAGCTTCAAACGTAATATGATAGACTACATCATCCAAGGGCCTCATACGCAGAAAGTCAGTGATGTTAGAGTATGTGGCTCCTGGCTCTTGAATGCCAATGCTAGGGCCCTCCGGCTTGTTGCTTGAAACCCGAAACCCTATTAAACCCTGGCCCTAAAAGCAGCTTCCCCTATTCCTACATATACATATACATATATATATATATGTATACATCTCTCTCTCTCTCTCTCTCCTCTTGCTCTCTTCCGAACTGCGGCAACCACTCCCTTTAGAAGACCGCTAGACTTCAAACCTAAACCCAATAGTCCCTCTTAAGTCGATAGAATATGTGGTATCTAGGGATCTGCTCATGATATTGGTCAATTTCATATTCTGTCTGCTTAGGGGCACTATATCCCCCAAAGCCCCCCAATCCTGAACCCCAAACAGCTGAAGTCTGAGCCCCAAACAGTTGAACTCTAGACCCCAAACTCTATGCCCTACAGCCTGCCATACAGCCCTGGATTGGTTCGGTCCTGGCCCAGGAAGACCTGCCGAGCGATATCCGCGCAAGTGTGTGCACCTCAGACGCTCTGTCACTTAAGGACTTGGAGATTAAGACCCCACCCCATGAGACGACTATAGTATATTGGGTTTAGGGTCTGGGTTTAGGGTTTAGGGGGGGTACCCACTATAGAGTAAGATTATATCATCCTTTTTGGGTATAGTATTTTGAATAAGGAATATAATCTTACAGGGATCAACCACCAAAAAAACACTACCCACCCCATGAGACTACTATAGTATATTGGGCTAATATAAGGATAATGGAAAGAAAATGGAAACTACTACAACAGGTTATATAGGGTTTAGAATGGGGTTTAGGGTTTAGGGGTGTAGGTTTTAGGGTTTAGGGAGATTAAGACCCCGCCCAATGGGGTTTAGGGTTTAGGGGTGTAGGTTTTAGTGTCCAAGGGTTCAGGGTTTAGGTTTAGGGCGCCGGCTTCAGGGTTGCGAGTGCTTTGGAGCTGTTAGGGATTCAGGTTTAGGGCTTAAGCTCTTCGAGGGCTTAGGGCTTCAGGGCATCATAGTTTTAGAGTTCAGGGGTTGCGTTTTCCTTTTTTCAGTACCAACATCAAAGACACGGAATGGCTTCCCACGAGTCATGAAGTAAAACGATAGTTTCTGAATTCAAGGCACGAACACTTTCCAAATTGTCTATTGGTGTTGATATTTCTCCCAAGGTAGAAGGTACTTTAGGGCAGTTTTTTTAGTACCCGAGGGCTTCAGAGACTCTAGGGGATCCATGGGAACTATGCAGGCATTGGCCGGGGTGCCTAAACCTTACATGTGAAATGACCTTAAACCCTGAACCCCCAAACCCTATACCCTTAACCCCTAAACAAGTAAACCCTAAACACTCTTAGCCCTAACAATATACCCTCAACCGCTAAACCCCTAAACCCTAAGTGCTATAAGGGTAACTTGGCCAATTCCTCCACAGACCCCTGGGCTATGACATAATTGAATATAGTATAATATAGTATACTTACTATAGTATGATATAGTATAATATAGTATAACATAATAGAGGGCTCAGGTTCCAAAGTCGCCGAGCGAGCACCACGGATACCTCGTGTTGGAGGCTCGAGCAGCTAGTTTAGGGTTTAGGGTTTAGGGCTTAGGGCTTAGGGCTTAGGGTTAGGGTTAGGGTTTAGGGCTTAGAGTTTAGCGTGTGACACATCTTCCTCTAGGTAGGGTGTAGGGGTTTTGTGATCTCCCATAATTAGGGCTACCATTGTGGGAGTCGCTGTAGTAAGCGTCATGGCATTTTGAAGTCTATATCGGGGTACCCCCATTTAAGCCACTACCACATCTTCCTCTAGGTGCGTGCAAGGGCCTAGGGGCCTAAACCCTAAATCCTAAACCCTAAACCACCTATCCTAGGGGCCTCTAAAGCTAGCCCCACACCTGTACCCCTAAGCTCGAGACTCGCCTTGACGCTAGGGTTTAGTGTTTAGGGTTTAGGGTTTATAGGGTTTAGGGTTTGTAGGGTTTAGGGTTTAGTGTTTAGGGTTTAATAGGCTTTAGGGTTTAGGGTTGGGTACTCTTAGCCCTAAACCCGAAACCCTGATCTATGTTGGGCTGGACAGGGGTGCCCCTGTCAATGAGCCCGAACCATAATGGAGAACCAGATGGAAAGGACAATGGAAAATGACATGGAAGCTGGGGTTATGCAAGGATGACATACGATTTCAGTTTGGCCATGTTACCTCAACTCCCAGAAATAGGACCCTATCGTGGGCATGTGATAGTTGTAGGGTCGCGGAATTCAATGATCTGACTGTTCACCCATTCGGCATGTGGTATGAGTCCCTCTTTACCTTAAAGCCTAAATCCTTAGCCCTGAACCCGCAGCTCTATGCCCACAACCCGAAGTCTGAACCAAAGCAGCCCTTGCTGCCATTCGACGCGCGGGTCTTGGATCTCCGCGCACATGTCTTGTAGAATGCCAACCGAAAAATCAGGGTATGCGCCTAAACCCTAAACCCTAAGCCTTTAAGTCAGAAACCAGTTGGTGACCCTAGCTTTGTCACACCAAGGCTAAATGAGGTGCCTACTTGCACCCGAGTGGACAGGTTAGGGGCACGTCCTATAGTACAGGGTTTAGGATTTAGGGACCATAATACTAGAGAGTACTACGCTCTCCTACGAGCATTTCAGGCCTTTACAGGTTTACTTGCTGGTGTTTCGCTAAGGAATGGGGGAAGCCGTTTGGGGGACTGATATTGGAAATGATATCTGGACTACCGACTACTGTTTGGATCGATTCCCTCATGAGTTGACGCAGGCCGGAGAAATCGTTGAGGCTCCTTGCTTGCATTTCAGCCGCACCGAACGCACCATATTCAGATGTGTGGGGTTTCCCAAAAGTATGGGTACTTTCTTGGTGTCCGTATAATAATAAGGATGAGGACTACAGTATATTGGGGTCTATAATGGGGTCCCCCGGTTTAGGGACATTTCCATGTGGGATTTCTGAAAACGGGATGCTTAATGGACCCACAGCGACAAGCATTAGGCACTAGTGACACACATTTTGACAATCGTAGGAGCTTGTAACCCTAAACCCTAAACCCTAAACCCCCAAACCCTTAAACCCCTAAACCCAAAACCCTAAACCCCTAAACCCTAAACCCGTATGGTAGGCGGGTGCACCCAAAATGAGCCCATCATTTTGGTAACCCCCATGGAACTGCCCCCACTCACTAACAGCTGGATAGTATTTGTAATATGAGTATATAGAGCCCCTGGTATGCCCCCTAATATAGACCATTGATGGCAGGGATATGACTATGAAAACCCCCTGGTATGGCCCTTAATATAGACAATGATTGTATGGAGCCCCTGATATGGTCCTTAATACAGACCATTGATGGGAGGGGGCAGGACCCAACTTTCGTGTCATACTGTTGAAGGAAGAAATCTTGCGCGACCTAAATCCCCTAAACTATTGTAAATCCTAGGACATTCAAGACTTGAGTTGGTGCAAGATTTCATCCCTCAACAGTAACGCGAACGTGGAAGATAGTATGCCTGTGCGGGCCGCTCAATTAGATGCATGGTGACGACAATATGCCAGGTGCAATACGTGGGTACACCTGGTACAGATGACGATGGTTGGGGGTGCCTTGGCTGTTCTAGGGTGCTGCTTACCCTCTCCAGAGCTAGAACAGAAGGACATAGAGCCTCTTCTGCATGGACAGTTGTCTTCCTTGGACCTCCTGTTGGGTTTCCATGTCATTTTGGGCTGGGTAAGCCTGTCTGCAATTATGACCCGCAATAAATCCTTGAGCCTCAAACCCTTTGAGTGACGAGGAGCACCCTCAACTCCACTCTCCCTAAACCCTGACCAAACCTTGAACCCTGAACCCCAAACCCCCAAATCCCTAAACCGCCAGACCATGAACTCCAAGGGCTAAACCCTAAACCTCCTAAACCCTAAACCCTAAACCTCCCAAACCCTAAACCCTAAACCTCCTAAACCCTAAACCCAAACCCTAAACCCTAAACCTCCAGAGGTATGGTGTGCATGAGGGCACTGGTCAGAAGGGCTGGTTGTCATTGCAGGCCGTGGAAGCATCGCTCCCGGGTCGGCATTTGGACCTTTTGTACCTTTAGGGGTTTAGGGTTTAGGGTTTAGGGTTTAAGGGTTTAGGGTTTAAGGGTTTAGGGTTTAGGGTTTAGGGGTTTAGGGTGTAGGAGTGTAGGAGTTTAGGAGTTTAGGGTTTAGGGCTTAGGGTTTAGGAGTTTAGGGTTACTTTAGGGGTTAAAGAGTGTTGGGTCTGGGGTTAGGGACGTAGGATTTGGGATGGTTTTAGGTTGGATACTGGCCCCAGCCTACAACAGTCATCCGTGCTAGCCTCGTTGATTAAGGGCACACGGTCTAAGATTGCAAAATGCGGGGACTTTTATAGTTTGTGGGGAGTACCCAACCCTTTAGTTTCAAACACTTGGATGCTTTTGAGTGCCTGAGTCCCTTTATGTGCCATTCCAGTACAGACCACTTAACTTTCGGATACGTAAACCCTAAACTCTAAACCCTAAGCTCTAAACCCTAAACCATAAACCCGAATCTTGGGAACCTGTCCTGTCTTCCGCCCCAAACCCCCCAAAAGCCTAGCTGAATACTGTTTAGGGCTCATTGTTGGTTGAGGGTTTAGGGGTTTAGGGGTTCAGGAGTTTAGGCTTTAGAGCTCATTGATTTTCGCAGTTGATTCTGACAGCAAAGTCCCCAGTACAAAGCCCTTAAGACCAAGGCTGCCTAATCCCCAACAGGGTTTGGGGTTTAGGGTCAGAGACTAATGGGAAAGAAAATGAAAACTACTATGTATTGTTTAGGGTTTAGGGTCAGGGGGACTTGGTAAGTAGGTTCATAGTGGGGATAAGTGGGTTTACTATATGGGTTATAGGGGATGTTAATTAACCTTCCTGCTCAGTCCCCCTGACCCTCCAAGTACATGGGCTAGTCGGGAATAAGGGAATCTATTGTATAGGGAGTGTATAGGGATTGCTTCACAAACCGCACCAATTCCCAAGAGACCATGGAACCTCCACAAGGTCCCCTCAAAAATATTATTGTCCTTGAAACGGGCCAGAAGCTTTAAACCCTAAACTGTAAAACCTGAACAGTCAACCCAAAACTAGAAACCCTAAACCCCTAAACTATGTGGGGTTCCCCTAAGCATTCGACTCTTCAGGCCCCACTTTGGATATCCGCAAGGCAGCACTGCAGTGGCACGCCCGGCAACGATGAGGATGGGCGAACCGTTGAAAGTACGGTTTGGGGTTCAGGATAAAGGGACGATTATATGGGAATATGTAAGGTTTAGGGTCCAGGATAAAGATGTTTTTAAGGATTACATAGGGTTTAGGCTCTAGACTCCTCAAAGGGGGGTTATATAGCCCTTAACCTTAAACCTTGAACCCTAAACCCTAAACCCTAAACTGCGTGAACCCTAAGAATGGAGTTTGCGGAGGCCTAAGATGTTCAACGTAGTCAGGCACTCGGGGATGCTCAAACTTGGCTGTCCTCCACCTGGCTTTTAGGACTTTTACTTTTTAGGGTTTAGGGTTTAGGGTTTAGGGCTTTCTATATTAAGGAGGCTAAGAGTTTAACTTTTAGAGTGGGTCCTAAAGACAGCTATTCAAAGGTTAGCCAAGATTTGCAACAGCGTATGTTGGACCAGAGGACTCTTAAAGGGTTTAGGGTTACCCTAAACCCTATACCCTAAACCCTAAAGGGCTCAGGGCCTAGGTTTCAGCATTTTACCTGTCTCCAGTGTCTGGCAAGATTCGCTATCAAGGTGTTTCAGGTTTATTGCTTCGGACTCAGGACCTAGGGCTTTGTGTTTAAAGAGACCTACACCTTGCAGGTTAGCTGCAGACTGCGTAAAGGCAGCTCTAGGAAACCCTAAACCCTAAACCCTACTCTAAACCTTTTCTCCTAAGTCCTAAGCCTTAAAGTCAGGATTAAAGTAAACCCTGAACCCTAAACCCTAAACCCTGAACTTAACCCCTGAAATCTTAGAATAAAGATTTAAGGTCCAAAGCGGGAAAGCTAGGCCCCGCTCATCCTACGGGTGCTTAAGGGAGAGTGGGGGAGTGGATCCTGGTAACAATGAAGGGGTTTAGGGGTTTAGGATTTTAGGGTTTAAGGTTTAGGGTTTTGGGTTACTTACTTGGCCAATAGAAGAACTGTAAACTTGTTGGGCTTCCTTTTTGGGTCTCTGTAATAAAGTTTGAGCATTGCTAGCCCTGGTATACCCTAAACCCTAAACCCTAAACCCATAGAGGAATAGAATCCCCAGATACATACCCCTATCATGGTCCCTAGTTTCACTCCAACACTCAAAACCCAAACCCTGAACCCCTACAATGGTACTTCCTAAACCCTAGACCCTAAACCCCTAAAGGGGTTTAGGGTCTAGAGTTTAGGGTTTAGGGTTTGGGCTTGGGGTTTAGAATTTAGGGTTTAGGGTTTAGGAAGTACCCCAAAAACCCTAAACCCCTAAACTTCAACTCCTAAACCCTAAACCCCTACACCAGTAGGTCATCTAATGTCTCATCCAGCCATGGCAGCCAGGAGGCATGAGCCAGACATCGAGGGGCTGTCCAGGAGCCTTTCCTTGCCACAAACGAACTTGGGTTTAGGGGTTTAGGGTTTAGAAGTTTAGGGTTTAGGGGTTTAGGGTTTAGGGTTTAGGAGTTTAGGGTTTAGGGGTTTAGGGTTTTGGGGTTTAGGGTCTAGGGGCTAGGGTTTCGGGGTTTGAGGGCTAGCGTTTAGGGGTTAGCGGCCTCAAAAAAAAGTGGCCATATTGGATGTTGGTCGTATGCCAACACCCGCTCCCCAGGTTGCGAAGCGAGGAATGAATAAAAGAACATGTACCCTCGCTGAGCGCTGCAACGTCTTTCAAAGCGCCAGCAATCCTCGACTCCCCAAACGCTCTTGGAGGCAGTTTAGGGCTTCGGGTCTAGGGAAGTCGGGTTATGAGCCCATAAAGCCCTAAACCCCTAAACCCTAAAACCCCTAAATAAAACCCCTAAGCCCCTAAACCCTTAAACCCCTAAACCCTAAATAACCCGAAACTCCTACAGCATGCCGGGTAGGATCCTCATCAAAATCTTGCGGTATCCGGATCCTGTGAACCCGACCGTTAGAGTGGACAAGAATGGTTGGGCATCTGGGTCATTCTTTCAAGGACATGTTTTATAATAGGGTTTCTTCGAAATATGGGGTCTTCAAAGGACATATTTTATGTAGGGTTTCTTTGAAATACTGGTGGGTGCACATGCTGGGTGTCCCATTCAAGGATCATAATGTTAAATCCTACCAGGTATGATAGAGAAGAAGGTACTTGCGTCTTTCGCCGCCGTGAAAGGTATG